CGATTTTTATTTATTCATCCATCAAGTTAGAGGGGTGACTGCATTCAATTTCAATGTCATTCCAATTCATTTTTCACCGGTAAACTAAGCCGCTCTTATCTATGGGATTTTAGGGTAATTTCCGCCACCGAATTCGAAGGGTCGTTGCGCGGACCATGTTAGAGGTTTAAAGGTGAAACTTGTCATATTCTGTAAAATAGGGTATTGGCTACCTATTTAAGGCAGACACATCAGTTTTTCCCCTAAATCCCGTTGCTCTCAGACTGATTGTTCATGGTACGTGATAAACCGTTTTCCAATCTTGTCGGGCCCTTCTCCTGCTGTTTGATTTCAAGAAAACTGGCAGTAAAGCTCACCGGATGCTTTTCGATACTTATGGTGAACAAGCTCCATATGAACAAACCTGCAGCTCTCACCCAAAAGTGGCCGTTAATCGCAAGAAAAATTATAAGGTGCTGTTCCACCTCGACAATTCCAGACCCCATGTTGCAAAGAACGTCCCTACAAAAGTTGCAGATCTTGGATGGGATAAGCTTGTTCGGCCCGCAGACTTCCCGGATCTTGCTTCATCTGATTACCACTACTTCCGGTTCATGCAAGTCAGTCTGGCAGATACACGCTTCCGGAATGCCGAAGAAGTGCGGAAATGGATGGATAAGTGGGTTGCTTCGAAAGATGAAGACTTTTTAAGACTTGGAATCAACAAGCTACAAGAAAGATGGCAAGAAGTTGTAGCTAACGACGGGCAACACATTGGTTGAAGTATATTTTGTTTTAATTTTGTAATAAATGTGTTTTTGCACGCAAAAAACGGCGGAAGTTACTGCACACATCTAATAATAGTTGACGACCCCCGCGAGCTATCGCGCTCAAAGTTCCCATCTGTCCTAGCCGCAATCAAGCCAGAGAGAAGGATCCTTTCAATTACAACAATAAAAGTGATTCTAAAATGAGCCATATCCCTTGAGCGCTAGCAATGTAATCACTTGATGGAAAGCCTTGTAATCCTGTGATTTCTGATGGCTTCCCAGATGAGAGTTCATGAGAAGTCGTAACAAACGTCATGAATCTGGAATTGAAAATTCCAGGAGCTGAAATTTTTTCTAAGAATTTCTTCTTCTAAGGGGGAAGGTTGGGAGAGAATAAGATATCAACGGCTTATAACATCAACTTTGGTTTTTTTCATGGTATCCCTTGACCAATCTAATTAATTGACAAAATAAAGTTAATCATTACATATGTACGTAGGAATGAGATACAGATTCACAACACATGCCAAAAAGAAAGAAACGGTAACAAAAGGAAGGACATAAGACATATAATACCTTAACGATTTGAGGTTTTCCCCATTCAATCGTTCCCCATCGAGGTGCGTATTGTGCCAGAACACAGTAGTCGCCTTCACAGAATGAGCCCATGCAGTCCTTTCCGACGCAGTCGAGGCATTTCACAGCACACGTAAATGGGCATAGAACTAGCAACAGAATAAACACAATTAACATCTGAAAATAGCGGCAATTAGGATGTGTTCATGACCTTCACAGCTTTAGTTCACGTGGAAAAAGCAAAGTTCGTCGGTAAACCGAAAAGTCGTTCAAGCAATTGGACTGCTGGTTAGTGAAGAACACTTTGGTCCATCGTCAGCCTACATGTTGCCTAGTCACAGCGAGAAGAAGAGGCAGTGAATTCGACTACGTCAATTGTTGTGGTAAATTTTTTTGAAGAATGAACTGACAGAACGTGTCACTAAAATGCAATTTGTGAGCAATCGGGGTTCACAGAAATGAAGGTAGCGACGCAAGGGGCTAGAGATAAACCAGAAGGACGCAACATCCACCCATGGGAAGCATGTCTCAAAAACACTCGCCTATCACTGGATAAGGCATCCTTTCCGAACAATAGTCATGGCCTAGAAAAGTCATAAAAAAACCTTCGCAGCAGGAAGTAGTAGCCTCTCCATGACAACCAAATCTATCTAAAGACGAAATACGCTATACAATGGGAAATGGGCAGTGGGAACGGTTTTGTGTAATCGATCCGCCGCCCGCGGCTGTCGCGGACCATTCGCCTCGCTGTAAGCTGTCTCGCCGCGACGCGACAATTTTGTTCCTACTGCACCACACCCCTGTACAATAACGAATAACTCGGGAAGAGCAGCTTATATATCAGCACCCACTTCATGATTTACAAAACTCTAGTTGAGTAATTGGAACTTCTGAACCGATCAAGCCAAGAACATATTTCGCATCGCCCGGATAGGAGGTTAAAAAAGCATCCTTAAGAGATGAGAGGATCTTACCAGTAGATTTATTGTGAGAGAAGGATGAATGCGTTCGCTTTGGGTAAGGAAGTGAGTGAGCATGAACGCTGACTGAAATAAAAGGCAAGAAGCGTATTCTCGCAACGGTGATGGCAAACACTCTCAAATATCACGTTTTCCTTTTTGAGGAAAGAAATCGATGTAGCATGGCGGGAGGCTCGAGTCCATAATCCGTCGTCATAGAAGGAGGGGGGGGGGGGGGGGGGGGGG